GCGCTGCCTGCGACTCCGCCCCCGGCCCCCAGGTCACTCCTCTCGCCAAGTTTGTTCGTTTGCTCTTCTCCGTTTTCCGGGCCCCCTACGACCCGGCCAGTCCCCCTCCCCACTCCCGGCAAGTGTCTGTCCAGCCAGCCTCCTGTCCGGCCGCAGGTTGGGTGTCCTCGTCCGGCTCCTCCTCCCGCCCCGCCCCGGTGGCGGGAAACAGGTAAGCCCTCCTGCCGCCGCACCCCCAGGGGCCTCCCGGGTTCCTGTGCCCGGCTTGCAGATCCTAGGTATAAGTAACCTTTGCACCCCCTAAAGAGGAAAGATGGTTCCTTGTTTAGGGCGGAACCTGTCCTGGCCTACCTGGGCCTGGCCAAAGATGCCAGCGGTGACTTGTGCCCCCAAAGGGCCTCTCTGTCACCCGCACATCCTTGCTGGGCGATTGGGTGGGCACTTGGCCTTCCTGGGGCCACCCTGTGCTGTGTGCCCCTGGAAAAGTCCCTAGAGCTCTGGATGCAGTGTGTCTAGTGACCTGCTGGGACAGCTGCCCTGCCCTGGTCATCCTGAAGAGGTCAGGAGGCCCTGCTTGAGCTCACTGTCCCTTTAAGGGAGGTGCGTGTCACCCTGCAGCCTCAGCCTCCATCTGTAGAGCCCCTTCCCCTCAAACTGCCTTCTGGACCTACTTCCTTCTTGTAAGGCAGCGGTGGGAGCTGTCCTTGCCGCCCTCTAAACGCTACAGCCATGATCCCTTTGGCCCTCTCCCCAGACAGGGTTAGGCATACTGCAGGTGTTCCGTGGATGCTGACTGACACGAGACATGAGCGCCTTTGACATGGGTAGGTTCTACTTGCCCTGAACCCCTGTACCCCTGGGGCATCAAGAGTCACAGGGTGGGGACAGGGAAGGGATGTGGGGCGGTGAAGGCTGCTAAGCCCACTGCACTTTGCCTTGTTAGTTTTAGTTCAGTTCCAAAACAATTAGTTGAGCACCTACTATGTGTGTAGGGAGCTCTGGTAGCATAGTGCCTAAGGCACTTGACTGCTAACCAGAAGGCTGGTAGTTCAAACCCACCAGCCACTCCTCGGAAGGAAGGTTGGGCAATCTACTATCCGTAGTGATACCGCCTGGGAAGCCCAAGGAGGTGTCGCTATGAGTTGGTCTGACTCAACGGCATATAACAACAACCTGTGTGTGTGCGTGGGCAGGAGCATGAGTTTTCCACCCACTGGGCTCTCAGGACCACTAGGCACTTCTCGAGGGCAGGGCCTCTGATCCGGGGGGGGGGGGGGGGCCTTGGCTTTCTGCCTGGAGTCCCCACTCAAGTGGGCTTCCCGCTGGGAGGTTCCATTCAAGCACCAGCAGCTGGGGGGTTCTCATGTCAGCCCCACCCCAGCGGGAGTAGAGGGGTAGCCAGGTGCAGTGAGTACCCACTATGTGCCAGGCCTGGGCTGGGCCCTGAGAACACAGGTGTTTCTTGACTACATGGGTGCCCCCACCCTGTTTTAGCCCAGACCCCAGCCTGGACTGCACAGGGCCTGGTCTGGTCTGAAGGTGCCTGAGGGCAAGGCCTGGCTTACGGCTCTGTCCCTCCCAGGCTTGCCTAGGCCTGAGCTACAGCCCTGGGCTGGGGAGGGGTCAGTTTATGTGGACTGCCCGAGCATCTGCAGTGGAAACGACCAGACCAGGACCTGGAAAAGCACCCGGCTCTCCTAGGTCTGGCCTGGGTGAGGCTGCTGTGCTTCTTGGCTGGGCCACGGGTGTATTTTAGGCCCTCCCTTGTCACACTTTAGATGTTGAATCATAGAAGGTTGGAAGCCCCAGAGGTTGGGTGATGGGCTGTTCCTTCGAAGGATGTTGTAATCAGAGACTCTTGGACTCAAAAGTTTCCATCAGTGACTGCTGGAAGAGTGGACCTCGGAGGTCAGCAGCCAGCCCCTCCCAGGGCTCTTCCCCAGCCCTTGTCTCGATGCTGCCTAAGGGCCTGTTGACTCGGGCAGGTCTCCAGCAGCCTGGGCCCACTCCTGGAGGGCCTGGGCCGTCTCCAGCTGAGTCTTCTGGGACCCAGTGCTGGGCCGTATTCACACGGCTCCATGCGCATGGCCAAGCTGAATGGGAAGTGAAGACATTGCAACATTGGACGCTTATTTCCAACCCAAAGACAGCAAGAACAGCGGGCACCGAGAAGCCACCTGGCTCAGTCTCTCACTCGCTGGGCGACCCTTAGCAAGACAGTCCACGGCCCTAAGCCTCAGTATTCTGCTCTGTGAAATGGGAGTAACAGTAGCTACTGGTGGTCGGGAGTCCTCATGTGATGCCAACAGGTAACGTGCTCAGCTGACACTCAAAAGGTTGGAGGTTCACATCCACTCAGGGGCTCCTTGGAAGGAAGGCCTGGTGATCTACTTCCAAAAATTCAGCCCCTGAAAACCCTGTGGGACATGGTTTACTCTGACACACACAGGGTCAAGATGAGTTGGAATTGATTCACGGCAACTGGTTTACCTGGGGGTGGTTGTGATGATTAAATGAGTTAAAGCGTATGAATCACTTAGAGTGGTGCCTGCCATGGTTTCTTGTTCCTATCGTTATTCAGTCCCCAGAAAGTCAGGAACGGAAAGACCCTTTCTTTTCCTCCCTGCTCTTGCCTCAGTTGCCACTAAACCTGTCCAGCAACCTTGGGACCAAGGGACTTCCTGTATTTAGTGCACCCTCGGGTGAGATTGGTATCATTTTCCCCATTTTACAGATAGCAGACTGAGGCTCCTGGGGCCAAGCTCCCCAGCAGGTTAAGTGGCCTGAAAGCAGAGCTGACAGGCCCCAAAGCTCACTCCTGCTCCCTGCTGTGTGATGGCACTGCCCAGAAAACTCCAGAAATGCTGGTCCCACCTCCCAGCTCCTCCAGGGGCCAGCAGCCTTGGTACAGATGGATCAGTGCAGACCTGTGACAGGCTGGTAGCATGCTGAAGCTTGAACAGGATGTGGGAAGGGAGCCCAGGGGCCCGGGCTGAAGGGTTCCCCATGTGCAGGATCGGACAAAATGTCCCACTTGTGACCCTTTGAGAGCTTGTTTGCAGCCATGTTGGTGTTACCCTCCAAGGGGAGGCTTCTGCCCAGAGCCGCTGGGCACATGGTGATGATGTCTGAGGCCCAGGGCCCCTTCCCAAGGGCCTCCCAGGAAACCTGGCAGGGAATGCACAAGGCTTGCATCACAATCCTGACAGCCCCAGGCCCCACGGGACAGTGGCTGAGGGTCAGGCCTCACAGGCTGCTCTGACCTGGAGCCCTGACACAGCCCCTAACTGTGGCCACAGGCACTTGGAGTCTCTCAGTCTGTTTCCCACATTCGTATCGCGGTTACAAGGATCAGGGGAGGGGCTGCACGAAGCTGTGCCAGGCTGGGCTGACCCCCCACCCCACCCCCACTATTTGCCTGGCTGTGCCTGTGCCCCGGCCAGGAGATCCGAGACCTGAGACCTGCATTGACTGGGGCTGGGCAGCAGGAGGCTGGGGGCGGGCCACCAGGCAACAGTGGCTTCCCTGTCTCTCTTGGGTGCTGTGTGCAGATAACCAATGTGCTGTGGTTGCCAAAAACCCAAATCAACTGCCTCCTCAGCCTGTCCGAGTTGAAATCAGTGTGGCTTCAACATCTGCGAAGTCCCGCTGCACTTAGGGTGGTGGGGGCCACCCTTCAGAAGAGAGCAAACACCTTCCCCAGGCGCCCCACCCCAGCCTGAGAATGCCAGAGGCCTGACCTCCATGCCATCCCTCTGGGTGGACACACAGCATTTGGGGACTGGCTGTAGGTAGTGGAGGCCCAGGACCTGTCTCTGCTTAGAGCCCACCATGGCACCTGGCAGCCACTCCCTCCTGGTGCTTGCGTTTCCTGCGGGCTGAGGACAGGGCCATACCTGCAACAGGGGCTGCTCAGGCCCTTGCAGGATAGTCATTTGGGTGATGGATGCGGAACAAGGGGGCATGGATGGTTTACAAGATTAAAGGGAGCCCCTGCCCCTATAACATCCTTGAACCCCCAAAGCTGGCAGCCTGGGGGACCCTTGTGTTCAGGTCTCAGAGGGACCCTAAAGATCACTGGGTTCCTCCCGCACCAGGAACCTGAAGGCTAGAGGGGGAAGCACCCTGCTCAGAGTCACACAGCAAAGCCAGTGACTGAGCCAGACCCAGATCCCAGACCCCGACTCACCATCATGCAGGCCCCTACTACCCTGAAGCCCTCCCGTGGCGGGCCAGGTGTCTTAGACCCCGGATGGGCCTTCTGGGAGCCCAGGTGGCCGTTACAGGGAGTAGAGTTTATTTAGGAAGAACTTGAAATGGGACACTCCACCGGGGCATGTTGTTCACAGACGTGACAGGCACGCGTCCTGCCTGGGAGGGCAGGGCCAGCGCGAAGCCCTGTGGCTTCGAGGGCATGCTGGGTCCAGGGCCTGAGCCACACTGGGATCTGCCAGGAGGCTCGAGGCAGGGGGCAGCATGGCTCCAAGGCCTCATTCCGCAGCTCAGGGAGCAGGGGCCTGCCAGAGAAGCGGCCTGTGTTGACGCATGGGAGAGGAGGCACAGCAGGGTCTGGGGCGCTGGGCCCTAGGCTGTCGTGTCCAGCAGTATACACAGAAAGGGGTGCAGGGGCCAAGTTCAGGTTGGGAAACGCTAGATGAGACAGAGTGAAATTGGTGTCTTGTATTGGGACTTCCCAGGGCCCTGATGAGCTCATCTGTTAGGAAGGAGAAACTGTGGGCAGCCCTCCCAAAACGCCTGAGTGGGGACTCTTGTCCTGTAAGCAGTGGGTGGGTAGTGGTCTGAGAACAAAGCCTGTCCCTCCGGACCACCTTCCCGCTTCCTCCCCCGCTGCCTGGCTCTCTCCGCTGCTTCTGGGCCTGGGCCCCAGCTGCCCCGTGAGGGCAAACACTGATGGGCCAGGCTGAGGGTGCTGTGCTGACAGTGGGGCTCAGCTCAGGGTCCCTCCTGAAACAAGCTGCAGTCGGCCCCGCTTCCTGGGAAATGCAGAAGCTGAGGCTGGACCCCTGGGGGTGGATGCAGCTTTTCAGTTGTGTTTTGAGGGCTGAGCTCAGCAGGAGGAAGTTGTGAGAGGCAGGGGCCTCCCCCCGGGCGTCTGTAGCAGCTGGGGCTCCTGGCAGGCCAGCAGGCGCTCACTTCCAGCTGGGATGGCTGGGGGCCCACCACAGCCCCGCCGACCGGTGACTCAGCACCAGCCACACGCCCCCAGCAGGGCCTCTTCTGGTGTGGGCTGGGGGTGCTGGGGTGAGAGAGTAGAGCCTGATCCCCAAAAATGGAGGTCTGCCGGGCAGCCCTGGGACCCCTGACTCCTGTACCCCTCCTCTCCCCGTCAGTCTCAGAAGAGCCTTGAGAACAACCAGTCCAGGAAAAAGGACGTTTTATTTCCATAAATATTCCTGCTCTCACTCACACGCTGACCCCACTTCTGACCATGGACAGATGGACAGACAGATGGGAGATGCCCACAGGAGGCCCCAACAGAGGCCAAAGGATGAAGGAGATACTGCAAACTCCAGTGCAAAGCCCCTGGCTGGGCCCACCCCCAGCCATTCCCCTGGGCCTGCGGTCACACAGCCCCCACAACCCCTTAGGACACTGACAGCAGGGGCCAGGTGGGTGGAGGGAACCCCCACGAGGAGTGGCCCCTCAACTCAGCCCTCACCACTCCTGAGACAGTGGGCCCAGGGCCCACTCGAAACAAAAGCAAAGAGTGTCAAACCACACACCAGAGAAGTGCAAACAGCCGGGGGTGCGAGCGCCACCCCCACATTCACCCGGTTCCTATGCAGAAGGCCTGAGCTGGTCCCCAGATCCAGCACGGCCCCCAAGTTATGGCTGGGCCTTCCCATAAGGCATAAGAGACAGGCAGGGAGGGCCCCGCCCCCAGGCTGGAGTTGTGGCTGGGCCGGAGGTCCTCGCCCACTTCAGCAGCCCCGCTTCTTTCCCAGGACCCCAAGTCCTTCCAGGCCCGTGCAGCCCCTCTCTGCCCCAGGCTCCCACTGAGTGGGATCCCAGCAGTACAAACCCAGGCCCAGGCTCCTGCTGGGTTTGGCTCAGCAGGGGAGGGGTGGGCGGGAGGGGGAAGAGTCATTTGGGGGCCACTAGGGTGAGGGAGAAGCACCAGGCCCTGGGGTGTGTGGCCCTGGGGACAAAGGTGTCCCAGGCTGCCACAGCCTCCACCAGCCTGCTCCGGCCAGGCCCTCTGTCCCCTCCTCTCCCCAACCTCTGTTCTTTCTAGAGGTTCCCCCAGGTCTCGGGTGGGGGGAACTGGTCCACATCCCCCATCTCATTGTAGGTCTGGTCGCCCATGGTGAAGATGAGCTTGTAACGCAGACGCACCTTCTCCTGGAGCAGAGAAAGGAAGGTAGAGAGGCGTCAGAGCAGGCGAGGTGGCCACCTGCCTGCAGAGCCCCGCCCGTCACAGCCGGGCCCCCTCACCTTCTGAGGGTTGGCAAGGAGCAGGACCTGGGTGATAGCTGTCGGGTGGACGATGGGGTTAAACGCTGGCAGCTCCGTGCCTGAGGGTGGCTGCAGTTTGACTTTCATGACCTGCGGGCGTGGCAGGGCAGGCATCCTTAGATCCCCAGGGGCCAGGCCGGGGGCCTGTGGGCCTGTCTGTGGCTCCCTTTGGCCCCCCATTGCCCTCTGCTCCTGCCCCAGGACAGCTGGCTCCCCACCAAGCCCCAAGTCCCCCTGCCCTGTCTGTGTTACCTTGGGGACAGCTGACTGAAAAACAATGTTGCGGATGGGCTGGGGGGCGGTGCTCAGCATGGACACCACCACCACCAGCACATCAGAGCGTCCTGGCAGCGGGTCGCGGGCAAAGTGGAAGAGGACGCGGAAGCCATGCTGGTCATAGACGGTCACGGGCAAGATGCTACCTGGTGGGGGCGAAAGGGAGGCAGCGGGTGGCTGGGGTGCTCACCTCTCACCACGGCCCACGGCAGGGCCACGCCACTCTATTGGAGACGTGGGAACAAACCCACGAGCTTATGTCCTTGCTTCATGGGGCAGTGCAGTCGGGATGCGGACTGGTGCCGAGTCTGACGCAGCCCGGAGCCGCTAGAGTCTGATGGTGGAGGCAGGGCTCTGCCAGTCCTGTCACAGCCGGGGTTTCCCCAGTGCTGTGCGGCTGCTCCCTGGCATGCCGGTGCAGAGAGGCGAGGGTCTGGGTCACAAGCTCGCTGGGTGACCCTGGTAGTCAGCCTCCCTGAGCACAGTTTACCTTACTGGTGAGCTGGGACATTGCTCCCCACTCCGGGGGACACTGAGGGTGTGATGCCCTCCATGCGCAGTGAGCCCACGGGCTGACGCCAGGGACAGGCAGGCCACATCTTGGTCTGGGGAGGCCCATGGCTCTGCTGCTGCTCCTGGCAGGCAGAGCCCCAGGCGTGGGCCTGGCCCTGGTTCGGTTTCAGGCTCTTGGGGGGCTTCAAACCTCTCTTGTCCTGCCTCCTGCCTTCTGGAGAGGGAGGGAGGGGCCCAGAGGCCAGCCCCCAAGAAGCCCTCTGCTATGGAATCCCCGTAGTTTATAGAGCAGTTCTGCCAACGCTCAGGGCACATGGGGAAACTAGTCCTGGCCAAGGGGGAGGGGCCTTCCCAAGAGCTCCCTGCTGAGAAGCCAGGAGCAGGGCTGGGAGGAGAGGCTTTTGTCCCACCTCCTGCCCCAGAGCTCCTGACAGAGGCGAGGTGGAGTCCCCACCCTACAGCACTCACTGGGTTTGATGGACTCCAGGGGCACAGTGATGTTGGCCAATGAGGGCTCGGAGGGCACGGGCTGCTGCAGAGGCCCCGGGGGCTCTGGGGACACAGTGTGCAGGAGGCTGCTGGCGCTGGAGCTGGATGAGCTGCAGCTGCTCTTGTTCTGCAAGTCCCGGAGCGTGAGCCGGGGCGCCGGCTGCTGCTTCTCCCTTGGTGAGGGACAGGGAATCTTCAGGGCCTCGGAGGTCGGGGGCACAGCAAAGGCCAGGCCTCAGGCTCTGTCCCAGATGCTGATGCAGACCACCTGTCCCGCTGGCCTTGGGGCACCTCTCCTTTGCAGTGGGCACCCTTCCTCTCCCCCCTCCCTCAAAGCCCACCTTTACTGTGCCCCGCTCCCCCTGCTGGGCCGTTCAAACTCCATGTCCTTGTTGCCAGCCCTCGGGGCCTTCAGTCTCTCTCTGGGGGTCTGGGGACACCTAGGGGAGCTGTGTGAACAGGGCACAGGCTCCCTTTCTCATACGCTCCATGCTCTGTGGGGCGGGCGTGTTGCTAGCCTGTCACCACTGTTTCCCTAGAGCACTGGCCCCGACTCATGTCCACAGCTGGCAGTGGGTTCTCTCCACAGGGTCTGGGCCAGGGAGGGCCCCCCATGCCGGGCAGCCGTGTGCTCACCACCGCACTTGTTGGGCCTCAGGGGGTAACGACTGCTGCAGGAGGGTCTTTCCCAGGAGGTCCAGGTCATCCAGACCGCTGCTGGCCGGCAGGGGAGTCTGCGTTGGGGGCCGGCTGTCCGTGCTGGGGGCCGGGGGCTCGGTGCTCTCAGATGACTGTTGGGTACACAAAGGATGCAGGTGGGTGAGGCTGTGCTGAAAAGGTGTCAGTGTCACCTGGTCCTGCCTGGAGACCCTGTCCCTGTGCAGGTGACGTGTTGGGGAGCAGCAGCGGGGACTGAAACACCACACTGTTCCCACCATGACCGAGGTGGCTGGGATAACAATATGCCTGCCAGAACCAGGACCCTTCTCTCTTCAGGGCCATCAGGGGACTCTACTTCTGAGACTGTCATGCTCCAGGGACTCAAAGTCACCCCCAACAGTAAGGGGACAACCCCAGACGCTGGCCACTGCAGGCCCAAAGGTTGAGAGGCTAGACTGGTGGACATGCAGTGGGAGGTGACAGGGTGGGGGGACAGGCCACTTCCGCCACTAGCCCCAGGGGCACCATCAGGCCCCCTCTGCCCCATGGCCCTCCTATACAGAGGCCATCATTGCTCCCTTCAGGCTGCTTGTCCCGGGACAGGGACAAGTCGGGCTGGTTCCTGGCCCCCTCCTACCTGGAAGCTATTCCATCCAGCACCATCCAAGCCTGGGCCTGAAGTGGGTGTGGGGTCGCTTAGGCCTGAGAGGAAAGCAGGACAGAGATGAGGAAGCCGGATTCACTTGGGGGAGGAGGGGTGCACTGGCTGAGGCTCCCCCCGGCTCCCATCCCCCTCCACAGGCGCAGCTGAGAGGGAACACCCCCACTTCTAGAGGGAACCAGCAGCCGAACAGAAATAGAAACCCAAGGCGTCGCAGCTCATTCTCGGCCCACAGGCTTCCTCTCCTCCCCCCAGAGGGGACTGGCTCCGACTCGGTTCAGGAGGGGCTGGCGTGCTGCCTGTGTCCACCAGCTGGCAATGGGGCCTGCATGGGCTGGTGGGGACCCTGAAGAGCAAGGGTCAGCACTCTGCACCTGCCTCGAGTCAGAAGCACACTGCCGTGGGGGGAACAGGGCCCTGGGCCAGGCCCGCCCCAGAGTGTGAGCGACCCCGGGCAAGGCTGTGCATTGGCCAAGCCTCAGTATCCCCTGTGCCATGACAGGGCTGGAGCGGGCCATCTCTGAAGGCCCCGTCAGCCCTGATACATACCAACGATGGCCAACTTGAGTGAGGGGTGCCAAGGAGAGCCCGGGGGGCCTCTGGCTATGGCTTGAACTAAAAGGCCTGCCAAATAGCCTGCTGTCTGTTAGAAGACAGTACATGACCAGTCTGCCCTGAAACACCTCCAACCAAGTCCCCTGCATCTGAGGGGACTTGGTCCTGTTTCTAGCAAATCAGGAATAAGTGAGGTCCACGCTGAAGTGCTGACAGGCAGGGCCAGGGCTTCAGGGAGTAACAGCTGTTCTGTCTGGGGACTCATCTTTTTAAGAGCAGGGGCAGGATGTAAGTGCAACACGAAGGACATGCTCCTGCTGTGCCAAGCACTGTTGACTGGGGGGGGGGGGTGTCTCAATCCCCAAACAGCCTTGAAAGGTGTGGGGGGGTGTACCTAGCAAAGTAAGTGTCCTGGGGCCAGAGGCGATCAGTGGTTCCCAGGGGCAGGTGAGAGGGAGGGAAAGGAGGACTTAGGGCTCAGAGGTGTTAAAGGTGATGAGTCTGGGACTGGAGAGCAGTGAGGGCAGAAAAACACGATGAGCACGTCACCAAACGGCACGTGTGATGATGGTCAACATGCAAAGTGCTACATACAAATTTACGCAAAATCTCGAGATGGAGTGAATCTGTTGTCACAAAAAGTATGAATAATGTCAATTTCTCTCATCAAGACAGGAAGCATTAGAAAATTAATACAAAAAAGGTAGGTGTGGGGTTCTCGAGTCCTTTTTCTGATGAGGAAATGGAGGCTCAGAGAGGCTGTCACCTGCTCGAGATCACCCAGCAGAACGTGGCCGAGTCTGGACTCGAACAGAGACGGCAAAACTGCTAGAGCTTGAACACAGCTCTGCCACTGAGCTGTGCCCCTCTGGGCTGGTGACTCGCCTTACGCCTCTGGCCCTTCATATGTGAAATGGGGACAATGGCACCATCTGTGTCAGAGGGTGGCCATGAGTAATAAATCTGATAAAGTGCCTGTAATGCTCTCCTTGATAGTCAGGAAACAGGCCAGAGAGGGAAAGCAACAGGCCCAGGTCACACAGCTGGGAAGCAGTGTAGCTGGGATCCAAACCCGTGCTAGCCTGGCATAGACATTCCTACACCCTCCACTAAGCTACACAACTGCTTGCTTCCTCAGCCCCACAAGCCATGGCTGGGAAAGCGTGGCCAGTCCTGGGCAGCTGACGACTCTGAGGTCCTGTCTCCCGTCATCCTTCCTGCCAGGTGGAACGTTTAGGACCAGCTCTGTGTGGCCCAAGGCTTCCCCCGTCGCAGCGGGGCTGGGTGCTGCCCTGGCACCCCTGGTTCCTGTTCCCACACTCTCTTTGCTTTTGAGAAGAAACCAGAAGGAAGCTGGAGGCTCAGGGCTCTGCTGAGGCAATTTGGGGACAGGAAGTACAGAACAACACCTCACTTCTCACGCAGAGACGGCTTTGCCGCAGCCACCCCAGGAGCAGTCCAGCCATTATCTCCCCATCAGCCAGCTGCCCAGTCGGGGAGCTGCCCCTCGCCTGGCTGTGCTGGCCGAGATGAGCTACAAGGCAGGTGCCTCTTCACCCCTCAGTAAGAGGTAGGGGCATGTGTCCTGAGCCATCCCTTGGCACTGAATTTAAAAGGGGCAGGAGGGTAGAGCCCTGGACACCTTGTGGTCGGACCCTCTGTTACTCGACATCCGCTGAGCTCTTGGCTCCCCACTGAGCCCTCCTTGTCCTTTCCTTGCTTGTAAACAGTGAAATGAGTCAGTGCAGAATGGTTCAAGGCGTGGCTTCAGAGTCAGCGTCTAGTTTAGACCCTCGTACCCCCTCCCCTTTAATGAGCTCTGTCACTTTGGGCAAGTCACTCAGCCTCTCTAAGCCTTGATTGCCCCACGTCTCTAAGGAGGACAGTACCAGCACCACCTAGTGGTTGGGCGGACTCTGTAATGATGCAACAGAGCACAGGACCTGGCCCTGCGTCCAGAACGGGTCCAGGGGGATAAAACCCAGCCAAACCAGCTGCTGCTGATCTCAGCTCCCGGTGACAGACCTGTTCATGGGTTTTCAAGGCCCTGGTCTCTGGAAGCAGGTTGCCAGGCCTTCCTTCTGAGGTACCTCTGGGTGGCCTCAAGCTGTCAACCCTCTGGTGAGCTGTTGGACACTTAACCATTTGTGCCACCCAGGAATCCTGGAAGCGCTCCTTCAAGGAGGGGCTGACCCTGCCCGGCCCCGCCCCTCAGCCTCTTCAGCTCTTCAGGTTTGTTTGTTCTTCCCAAGGGGAGGAATGCAGTCCGACTCCTGGTCTCCAAGTCGTGGTTTTCCAACACAGCCTTCAAGACCCGTTCAACAACCCTACTACCTGTCTTTCTCCTACCCCCAGTGGCTGCTATGAGGATGAGGTGCTTCTGCCCCAAGGCAGCTGGAGTCTGATCTCTGCCTGGCCGCCTGGCAGGACCCTTCTGCTTCTTCCCCAGGGTGAGCCTGGTCTCCTGCCGGACTCTGGAGCCCCAGGCCCCGCCCTGGAGGCACAGCAGGCCTGGGGGCTTGGCTCTGGCCCAGAAAGCTGGGTGCCAGCCCCACCCCGCTGCCCTGAGCGCTGGGTCCTTTGGGCACGGGGCTCTCCGGCTCCCCCTCTCGGTGCGGGGAACTTGCTGGACCTCCACCTGGGCAGCCCCGGCTGCAGCTCTAACCTGCTGCAGGGGAATCCCACCGTTCTCCCGCAGGCTGCCAGAGCTGGGGTGTGGCTGCCTCTCAGAGGCAGGAGCTCAGTGTAGGGGCCCCCAGCCCCCAGGGTTGGCAGGAGGACAAAGGCTGCTGACGCTGCTCCACAAGCTATAAAGTGTGCTGTGGGGAGCACCCCCACCCGGCCCCGGGCCCGCCCCTTCCTCACCCAGAGACATGAGTTCGTCGTCAAGCAGAGAGACGGAGGCACTGGGCTGCTCAGGGCTGGCCTGGGTGCCAGGGTGGGTGGGCAAGGATGGGTAGGTGGTGCTGGCAGGAGGGAGATCCAGGCCTGAGAGGTCCAGCAGGGCCGAGGTACTCCCTGGGGTGCAAGAAGAGAGTCACACACATCCTGGGCGTACACCCCCTTCCCTGTTCCTTGGCCTCCTGCTTCTCCCTCGGCCACACCTGGCCTTGCCCTGGAATCTGTCCACCAGGCCTTCTCTAGTCTGCGGTGGCCTCCTGTCCTCTTGTCTCCACTCGGTAGACTGCTGCCTGTCTGTTAAGGCCCTGCTACACTTTGCTGCTTCTGTGTAGCCCCCACCCCTTCTAAACACCAACTCTGACCCCTTCTAGGGCCCCAGGGCTGTCATTCCACTGAAAGCCTGGCCCGTAATGTCTCCATGTCAAACCTGCCCTCTGCCTCTCATCGCTAAGCCACCCTCAGGGGCTCAATGAACCCATGACAGGTGCCTGATTTGCCAAGTGAAAGAAAGGCCTTCCTTCTTCGCCTATGCCCCAAACCCTCCCCCCAGACTTCTCCCTTCACAGCTGCAGGCCTGACACAGCTGTGCCCCAGCTCCCTCCCCATGCCTTCCCATCTTAAGGGGCCAGAGTCACCCCACAGTCATGGCCACCAGTTCTGGTGCCCCTCTGGACTGGTGGCCCTGTGTTGGCTTCCCTGTGCCCCCTCACCAGAGATGGGCCCCCATCCCACCTCCCCTGCATCCCCTTACCAGGGATGTGTCCACACCCCAGCTCCCCTGAGCCCTCACCACGGATGGGGCCCTCTCCATGATCCCCCGAGCCCTCCATGATCCCCCAAGCCCTCACCATGGATGGGGCCCCCTCC